AACAGTCAAAACAGTCAGTTGAATCTAGGTCTCAATTTTAAATTATACACTGGTGACTTATTTAAGTAATTAGGACCATATTATCCACCTCAACAGCTGAAAAATGTTTATGAAGAGGAGTCTTCATAAGAGTAATTACATTTCTTTCCTGATCTCTCCTTGACCATGAAGTACTTGTGCAATTGCACTGCTTAGTGAGGATTTGGAAAATGCAAAAAGAGTGAGGCTAGGAAACAACAGATATTTGTTGCCCAAGGCCATGTGCTCTCTGTGGCATCAGGGAAATCCTGAAAAAGTTAACACTGAGTACGTCGGTGCTCTCTATCCCAAATTCTTCTCTGTGTCATTTTCAGTCTCCCAAACTACTATTAGACCTCCTCAAATTCCTTACTTCTAATCAAAATTATACTTCTATTTAACTATTACCCTTCATCACATATTTGCAAAGTTGTTGCCATCATTTTAAATTGAAATCATCATGTCCCCCCCCAAAAAACCAACCTCCCCTTTCTTGCACAAATCTATTTCGTGTTGCAAACTCACCAGTGCATGTGGAGATAGTACACTCATGTTGGCTGGGCAGCTTGGCTTTGCAGCCTTTGGTGTTAAATTTGCTGGTCTATCCTTCTGGCAGTATGGGATATATCTCTGAATTCCTATGAGCCAAAGTTGACCATAAGGTTCTTTTGGTTACTGTGCATAAGGGAATGCAGATTTGTTGACTCTGTGCATGTAAGCTTTATGTCCTGCCGAGTTTCCCTCTGGATATCAAGCTGTGTGTGAGAAGAGGTTCGTATGCCCTCATCTTCTGTCCTGCCCTCATTTCTGTTGCTTGCTACATAGGGAGTGTGAGGAAATATGAGTGGAGGAAATGTCTTATGGTAGGATAAAAATCAGAATCAATGTATGTGAAGTGAAAATTTGTTTAATACGATCTGAGTTATACCTGAGTAGGAATTAGATTATCTGATATAGCTAAAAATACCCCAGGAATTTCAGCCCCATTTTTCTTCTCTGCAGTCAAAATATCTAAATTTATTTGAATCAGAAAGTTAAAACAATCAATTCATACATAATGCAATACTTTAAAAATTAGGATTTTAATTGAAATTAATTATTTCTGCAGTCCCAGGTTGAAATACTTTATTTCAGTGCATTGAATCAAGTTGAAATATTTGATGCATAATAACTCTTCAAGTTCCAAAGAAAAGCTTTATGGGTATTGTACTTTGCTCATCATATTTTACCCTGCGTTACAGGAAGGGCTAATTTGCTATAGTATATTTACCATCAGAGTTGCAAGCCATGTGACTCAGAGCTTCCTGCATGACTTGCCCATAGGAGAAGATACAGAGCACCCCAACCAGCCCAGGAAGTTCATGAGAAATCATGGAGTTAGGTAGCATCTGCATCACAGTGCCAGTGGGATTCCCATGAGGTGGTGAGCAGATGCAACTTGACATCACTGTGATTCAAATGAAACATTCCTGCTCAATAAACCAAAGCATTTTGTTTCAGTGGGACCACTCTGGAAGAAATAACTTTATTTTTATTTTCTCAGTCTTGGTGGAATCATTTTTTCCTATGCAGTTAACATAAATAATTTAACAAAAATTTTCCTGAAAATACTAATATTTGCATTGCAAAAGTGCGTGTATGTGTGTATATACCTATACCTATATGTATACGTATATATACCTAAAAATTGAGGGAAGCTTGCATATGTTCCTCTTCATTTTCATTTAGCTGGGATGTTTGGCTGCATTTTAGAAACAAGGGAGAGATATCACCCCAGAAATGAAACTTAGACAAAAGGGTTACTTGCAGTTAAGAACATCACCTTCTTTTTATTTGCCTTTTTTAAAAAAAACTGTGACTGTGTCACCTTGAAAAGTGAGGTGACTGTGTGGTACAAAATATGCATTAGAAAGTGCTTGGTCTGAAGGACTGGCTGGCTCAAGAGATCAGTAATCTAATGTGGGACCTTTCACCCTTTAGTCACCAGTCTGAATCTGGCATAGGTGAGTAATAAAAACACAAATCTCTCTGCAGCTGACAGCCATTTGGATGAATAAATAAATTGAGCTGATAATGTCAATATAATTTGGTGGAAAAAAATCTCACATCTGTGCAATAATTAACATGCTTTGGGGGTATCTCAGCAAACAGAGCAAAACATGAAAGGGCACAAGGATTGAAAATAGCAGAGGGTTGTATTTCTGTGATATTTCCCATCCTGAATTACACTGAAGCTTTTTTAAAATTTAGTAACTTCAATATGCTCCAATGCATATGTGCCTGCAAATGCAAGAAATCAGGGTCTGCTTAAATGCTCGATAAAGACACCACAAACACTGAATTTGTTCGTGTTTATAATTTCCTAAAGAGAGAGTTCTGTGGCTCTACTTGAAATACAGGAATACAGGGGAGCAAGGTGCTGAACCAGCTCCAGGACTCTTCCCACAGTTACTTGGCAACATGGCCCTGGCTCTCCCTTCTCGCCACAGTCCCCAGGACCTGCTTTTGGTTGGGGTTAATTAGATGATGCTCAGTGCATTCCCTGGCTAAGGCTAAAGTCTTCTGGGAGCTTTCTTGTGGCCTAAGGCTGAACTCACAATATCTATGCTAATGAATTAATGGGAACAAGCAAGAAAAGGGTTAGTTACAGAAAACTATCTGTCTTTTTAACCCCTATGTGAGCCAGTGTTCACATAAGGCTGCCAAACTCTGAAACCTTGCTTGACATGAGCTGGCTTCCCGTGGACTCACTTGGACGTATCTGCATTGCACTCCCCAGCAGGCTGGTTCCAGCAACACGATGTGGAGGCACCCGGGCGCTGGCTCTGGAAGCTGTACAGAAGTATTTATGCAGAGCTTAAGCTAATAAGCTCTGCCAGACCTGGGCTAGCCTGAATAGAGCCAGTATGGATGTCTGCAATTGTGGCACCTTTCATCAGCAAACTGGATAATCTGCCAGGGATAATGGAGAGCTGACTGTATATTGAATGCTTGTTTGCAAAGAAAATTATGTGTTAGGGTTTTGACTCTAAAACATCACTGTATTAAAGTCAGACAGCTGACAAGATTTCTTCTCCTATCTGTCTTATGGCCTCCTTCTCAGAGGTTGCTGCCCCTGTGACGGGGTGGCTTAAAAGCTCATGAAGCAGCTTCTAAGTAGTTTATAACATGTTGTGGTACATTTTTTTTCCTGAAGTGATGAAGTAATAAATAGTATTTATAGCAGAACTTTCTATAAGCCAGGAGACTGATTTGGACACCTTGGACCCTTCCCATTCTGTTTTCTGGAGGTATGCCAGGTTTTTTGATTGAGTTGTTAGAGGGGGAAATATTGTCTTCTTTCTGGCTGCATTCACTCTAAGTGCCTAACTGTGGTTGCAGAGAGGATGATGAACATATTCTTACATCCACCCCAAACTTTGGCTGTTTAGGATCTCTCTGGATGAACACATCACAGGCTTGACATTTGTGAACCAGTGCTCCAAGGGGAGGAACCATCAAAATATGACACATGGAAAGAGCTTTCAGAGAAATAATCCAGACATAACAAGTATGTAATAGTTGGAAGGATAGGAGAGGAAACTACAAAAACCAGCTTCAAATGTTCTGTCTTGGATGTTTTTAAGTCACAGACATGACTAAGAGCAAGTGCACATGTTCATATACATGTGGTTGTGTAAGCATCTCTAGAAGGGCCAGAAAAAGTAATATTTAAATTCAGTAATTAAAAAAACCTGCTGAAATTACAATATATCCTGAAGTTCTCTATTGGTATGATATGGCAGTCAGGGAAGATCACATATTTAAATGTAGGATGAAAAATGAGCTGACAACAAGTACAGAAATTAATAAATTATAATTTTATTCTATTTAAATTTATACCTATATATGGAGTTAGTTTCTCACAACAAAAAGATCAAAACCAAAACTAAAAGTTTGTCTCAACAGTTCTCAGGGCCTTTGTGCTTTTAAAAAGCGGGTGGAAAAATTTTTGCACAGTCTTTGGTGGATGATGCCTCTTTGTGGCTGCTGGTCATGGCAAAGGATTAGACGTGAAATTTTATGGCAGAAGATTCTGTGCTACAGTCTGTCTCCACACCATCTGAACACAAGGCTTTGCACCTATTTTTCAGTGGAGGTGCATATTAAGCTGTAATGTTTTATTCCCTTATGTACGAAAGGGAATGCAGATTTTTCCTCTAGCTTTAAGGTGGCGAGTACCGGTGCTTACAATAGGGTCCCAGATGATATTGTGATTTGTTTGTCCCCCCAAGCTTCCTGAACTAAGTAGGAGTCCTTGCATCCCTTGGTATGCAGATGGTTCTTTGCTGTTAAAGTCATATGGTGTCTTTCTACCTCTGCATGAATTACAAGGCACAATTAACTGTATCTTCATCTGTGAAAAATCTAATTCTAAATATGTATTTTCCATTTCCGTTTTTAATAATGCAATCTGTGAAAGAAGACATCAGAATGGAAATTGCCCTAGAAAATGTTTTATTATATGTGTCATGTATATCATGCGACTGACTCTTTTGTCTGTTTGCAGCTTTCATACTTACATGAAATTTCAACATTAAGGACCTGATTCTCACAAACACCAATGCCCTCTAGGAGTATTCTGATGCCCACCCATGTTACAATCTTTTCACAATGAGAAAAGTTTAAGTGGACTCACAATAAACAAAAATATGACTCAAATGTTGGTATCTTTTCAAGTCATTGGAGAATAGACATCATATTGGTTTAATAGTCACATTTTCTTCAAGGTAGTAACAAAGTATGTATAAAAACCTATTGATAATTGAGAGGCAGCAGAGTTTATGTTATTTGGCTTTAATTAATATTCTAAATCTGGTGTGTGTTTATCGGGCTATTACAGAAACTGTTTCCTTACTACTTGCTTTAATTCCAGCTGTTGAAGTATGGATACTCTCACAACACCAGGCTCAAGTCCCCACTGTGCCCTGATGTGTACAAACCTGGAGCAGTTCCACATGTTCTTCCTGAAAGTACTTTGGGTTGTTCGGTGGGTCGTGTTTCCTGGAATTAATGGTTGGGATGCTGGACCTCAAATATTTCCCTTTGGCAGATACTGGTTTTCATCTTTATGAGCCTGTTAAGGCAATTACAACCAAAACATTATGGAATATGCTCTCCATCTGAAAATCTATATTAATAATTTTATTATATGCTATGTGAATATTTTCAGGATGTAGAAGAACCATCTCTAAAAAAACCCACCTTAATTAATTAGGAACATCACATTCTCAGTAAAATTACACAAAGGTGTATAAAGTACTGGAATTGATGGAGCTGGATTTCCTGTATTTTTCTCCATTATGACAGCTACAGCAAAAGTCTGTCGCCTGAAACTCTTCTCTATACCAGTCTGGGCTCATCTACACTGCAGAAAGATCCTCTTAGAAGGTGTCCTAAGGGATCACCTTAAGCTTCTGCACAGAAATTAGCTTTGCCTTGGTCTTAGGCCAACCCCAAGGACAGTCTTGCTGGTATTTAACACAGATAGAAGCTTCTTCAGACTCCAGGACTCCCTGCTTGATAATATAAATAAAGTCAATACATTTTACAGGATCTGAACATTTATTAAGTGCTGCTGTGGCCCAAATACGGTTTTAATGTAACAGTTAAACAAAACAAAATCAATGAAAAAAGTTCCATTGGATTCAATGAAGATTGTTCCAATCTCCTGAAGTTTCAGTGTAAGTGTAGATGCATGCAAGCCTATTGCTATGAAGTGAAAGAGTCTGTGCATTACTCAGCTGAAGCAACCTACAATGGCTCTGCTGTCACTGCTCTGCAGAATCTTTTTTTCAAAGCTGAATATGAGGACAGTTGTGCAAGTTGTGTTCAGTCTCATCACTGAACTAATCACTTAATAAATGGAACAGTTTATTATGTCTACATAGGGATTTTTCTGCTATTTTTCTGCAAAAATTCCCAAGTGGAGACCATCACTTTCTTATGACATAAACCAACTCTGTGCTACACTCTTAGATTTTCAAAAGGTGTGGGGTTTGGTCAAAGGAAGGACCACAAGTTCTGCACAGAAAAAAGGTGTGTAAAGTGAGAAGAACCCATGTGACAGATATAGAGCAAACAGAAACCTGCCAGTTCCAATGTTTCTGATGCCTGAGAAACTAACAAACAGTGAGATTCAGGTGCAAGGGTATTTCTTAAAAAAAGTGAAACTGCCTAGATATACTTTTCTTAAAAAAGAAAAAATTAATATCGTGGGATAAGAAAGGGGCATTGCAGGAATATTTGAGCCTGTCGGGCTGGTCTACTTAGAAAGTCTACACCAGCTAATTACTGTTTGTTTTTAAATAAGAGCCTTGATCCATATTTTGATCAACCAGCTAGTGTTTTTTCTTGAGGTTCAAATGTTCAAAGATGGCAATTACCAAACTACCCCCCAAACTATCAATCTGTGTTTACTAGGGCTGGATGAACCCAAAATCTAGAGCCATGAGGCTGCAGAAAAATATTCCCTGATCCTATCTGTACTTTAGTTCTGTTGCACCACGGAACAGGAATACTAGGGGCAAATTCCATATCTGCATTCGACTGTCAGGTGGAAATTTTACACTGTAGCCACAATCATGTGGTTATTCACAAAAGAAAACTCAGATAACAATATACGAAGAACACACTGTGAGATATGAGTGAACACTATGGAGAAACATTCCTTCCTTTTTTCTTTTAAGAGTTATTTCTTACTATTTTAAAACTATTCTAGGCTATGGTTAATGAAGAAAACTTGAAATAAAAAAAAGAATAATGATAAACTGTAGTTCTGTTGCAGTGCAATTTAAACTAAAATCTGTGTTTATAATAGTTTATCCAGATATTTATTCAAATTTATGAAAATGCATGCAAATTTGCATTCCATTGTTTTGTGGTTAGGTATACTACAAGGGTTGTTTCAGGCTATGCAGCTTCTCTAGGTAACAACTCTCACTGTCTTCTGTTGTGATGTGATTCAAACAACATGGTTTGCAACTGATCTTGAAATCTCAAACTGAAGAGAGCAAGCAAAGGTGAAGTAATATTACCCAAGAACTTAAAAGAAAATGGAAGAACTACCCATTCTTACAGGTGCTTTATATAACAAAAAAAATGCCTTTAACTCATTTTTAAGTTTTTTGTGCCCATGCAGTTAAGCATGTAATTACCTGTTTACCAGGTTATAGTCTAGACATTCAGCACTCAATAAATTGGTGAGTGCATTCAGATGAAATTCTGGAGAATTATCACCACCCTAAATAATGCTTACATTTATTGCAAATCTTAAATGACTCTTTTTAAAAATTGTGAGCCTCTAAAGTATATCCCTTCCCCTAAAAGACCCAATTAATCGCTTAAGCACCCCTCCAGTTCTACTGAAGAGGCATCTGATTAACAGTCTTTTTCTAATAGAGGTAAGAACCTGGGAGGGTCAGAAATGAAATCTAAATGTCTCTTTTCACAGCTATTTGGGAAAGAAATTTGTGTAGTAGTTTGATCTGTATCTGCACTTGGATTGAACAATTGTGTTCAGGCAGAGAATTGCCTGGCATTATCTTATGACTCACTTGACAGAGCTTACCCCTACTTTTCATTACCTGAAAAGAGATCATTACAAAACATACAAGTAGTATAATTTTATAGCAATCTATTTTGAACTAGCAAATTAAATGGGAAGAAGAGAGGAAATGGAATGCAGCAAGCATAATTCTTTAAAATGTATTTCAAAGAAATGGGAGTCTAGGAGAAGTGTAGTAGAAGGTCCAGGTTAGGGGGTAGGAGCCCTTTCACTGTCTTGTGAAATGGCAGGACTAACTGCATAGACCTGATTCGTGCTGGAGAACCCTTTCACTGAAAAAGGGTAAATATATGTGGGTGTCACAGGTGAAAAATATTTTAAAAAGTGAAGGGTAATAGGTGCCAAATAATTGGGTGTATGTGTGTGTGTGTTTTGGCAAAGTCCAAAATTGTACTTTTGAGGTTTCAAGATGAGGACTACTGCTTTCTAGCTGCAGACAATGCAGATTGATTCTAAATTTTCCCAGCACTTGGACTAAATAGGAGTGAAATGTCCCGAACCCTCTCATTACCAAAGAGAAACATGACAGGACCAACAGTTAGGATAAAGATCATGCTTCTGCATATAAACTAGATTAGGAAAACCCTTGGTTTGGGGCATTCATAAAGAAAAGGAGGCCAAAACAGTAGGGTTTCCAAAGGAAAAAAAAAGTGGTCTTGGAGAGAAGAGGACCAGGAAAGAAAGTGGTGAGCATCTTGACGAGGGGAAAGGTGCTGGTGGTCAGAGAGATGCACAGAGATGAAAACCAGGAGATGCTCAGGGACCTTCACTAGTTGTAGTCCAGAAGTGTCACTGGGAGCAGCAGTACAGCATGAACCAACAGGACTTCCTGCCAAACTTTCCTAGACCAACAGGAATTTCCATTCCAGGATGGAAGTCAAGGGCTAGAGAGGGTGGCGTTGGAGTGAGGGAGCAAGGGAGTGTGAAATGACAAGTAGGCAGAAAGCTCTAATCTCTCCAGTTGTTAAGATCAGTACTCAGCTCCTCTACTAGTTACTGTTTATTCTGTCTCACCTGTGAAAGTGGGAGAAGGACAAGGTGACCAGCAGAAAGGCTTGGAAGCCAGGCTTGGGGAGTTTGGAGGACTCCTTTATCATTAAAATCTGTGAGGAAGTGCAAAACCAAATATAATTGTTCTCCTCTGAATTCATAACTGAAACAAATCCCTAGTAACACTTTTTGGGAGATGAATTAATTAGAGGGAGAAGAACTTTGCAACCAAGGTTTTGCCATTCAGTTGGTTGGAAGAGCTAAAATTAATGAAGTACGAGGTTGTACCTGAAAGCTGGATCTCCCCACTCTCACAGCTTTTCTGTGAGACCATCTCATTTCTTGGTCCCTTTGCTTCCTATGGATAAAGGTCAACATAACTGCAAGTCCCAAAAATTAAATACAACCAGTTTTATAGGATACTCCTGAGAAATGTTTAATAGTCAAGCTGGTTGAAGCATCTCCAGGAATTAGAGAAAAACTATAATTAATAGAGGAATAGTAACAGAAGATGCTGCAGAGACAGGCGTTGAGCCTAAGATTTCAACATCAAGACTCTTAAATTGATTTACCAGCATGATAGACAAAGCTGCCTGAAAGAAATTTATCCACAAGGTTTCAGGCACTTCTCTTGAACATGGTGCAGAACGTGTTTTTGTAGATAAGAAAGTCTTTAGGCAGAAATGTAAGATGCCTTAGAATGCTTAAAAGACTAGAAGGCATGTTTTGGCACTTTGGCAGCTCTTAACTCAAAGCTAGCTGAATGCCTTTGAATAAAATACTGTGTCTTTCAGAGGTGTAGCAACCTTCCCAACAGCCTCTTTGCTCCATAGGAGGTTTTCCTTCCTCCATTGCTGTGACCTGCCTGTCTGCTCCTGCTGCTGCCGGCATCCTCTCTGCAGGAGCCAGAGACTGCCAGCTCCTTGCTGCAGCTGTAACACAGGAGGATTGCTCCAGGGGCAGGAGTGAGGAAAGTTTCACCTGACATGGTCACTTCTCACAGGGGAAGACAATCTGCAAGCCAGGAGCACACAGTGCAGCAAGCAGTGTCCTGTCTGCCATATCCACTCTGAATTGAAATAAAAACCATACTACCACAGGGACCAGAATGTGGGAATTCCACCTCTTTTATTGTGGAGTCTTAAACATGACTGTTTTACTTCTTCTGTGCCCTCTTTCCCTGTTCCTTCTCTTTCACAGATCCCCACAGCTTCAGCGGGAGGGTTTCAACCACCTCACTTCTCCCAGGCCTGCTGTATAGCCTGGTGCCTTCCTCCTGCATGTCTGGAAAGGTGAATTTAAGTTAGGTGAAATGAGTGGTGTGGCCAGGTGTGACCACAGCTGTCTCATCTGTTTAAATTCATGTCATAGTCCTCTCAGAAGCATTTTCCTGGAGCTCGGGGAGAAATTGGAGGGAAATGAACCTGTTTGGAGAGGGAGAAGGTGGCAGAGGCGGTGGGGTACAGAAACAAAGAGCCACAGCAGGGATCCAGGAATGGCAGGGAGAACATGAGTTGTACAAGGGCAAGTGGTACACACTCAATTTTGCAGAGAGAGCCAGAAGCAAGGACACTGTGGGCCAGGTGAGGAATCTTTCTGCTTTGTTCTGTTTACACCTCACCAATTGGAGATTTCTGTCATTAAAGATAATGATCCTAGCCATTGTTCTAACAAAAATTCACTTTGGGGAGATCGCTATAAGAAGAAAACTAAGCAGATCCATCACAAACCTCTGGCCTGCTGAGAGTCTTAATGCGCATAATGCCTACGTGGGTGCTCCAAGCACAAGGAACTGAACACAAGATTAAAAGTGACGGCAACTGTTGCTTGTTGTCGTGGTTTAACATCAGCCAGTAGCTGAATACACACAGCTGCTCATTCACTCACCCTGCCACTCCCTCCACACCCACCTTGTGGGATGGGGAGAAGAATCAGAAAAAAAGATAAAACCCATAAATTAAGAATCTTTTAATAATGGAAATAAACTTTAAAAGTAACCATTATAATACTAACAATAATAATAACTGCGATGAAAAGAAGAGAGAGAGAGAAATAAAATCCAGAAGAAACAAGTGATGCACAATACAATTATTCACCTCCCACTGACCGATGTTAAATCCATCCACCAGGAGCAATTGGCAGCTCCCAGCAAACACTCCTCCACTCCCCAGTTAATGTACTGGGTATGACATTCTTCGGTATGGAATATCCCTTTGTCAAGTTTGAGTCAGCTGTCCCGGCCGTGTACCCTCCCAGTTTTTTGTGCACTGCTAACTGGCAGACTGTGAGACACTGAAAAGCTATGAGTAATACGTACTCAAACTTGGGGCACTTTTAAGTGATCTGAGTTCTTAAGATTGGAGATGCTAAAGATAATTGAGCAGATAGTTGGATGGCTCTTGCTCATTTTAGCTAGTGATACCAATAGCATACTTTTCAGTTCTTTTCATCTGCTTTGACTATTCTTTTTTATTAAAGCCAATTAGAAAATTTTCTAACTGTAATGTATTATCTCTGATATAATTACCAGTAAGTCATGAATACCAGTCACATGACTGCCAATGAAAAGCTGTTCTGTTTCTTAAATTAGCTATCTTAATATTTTCTGCTGTAAATTTTCTTCTTTATTTTCCAAATCAACTTTATAAAAGTGCAATAGAGCAGAAATGGAACAGGGGTGCTATAAAAAAATCTTAGTGAATGGAATAATTGTAGCATTTACAACAGATGAGATGTTTGCAATTAATTTTACAGTTACCATTCAAGACATTATTTTGGGAAATAAAATATTTTACTAACTTAATACTGTTTGTACACATTTCATGTTGGAAAACATTGGATAAAACCTAAACTCTTGTTTATATTTTTAATAAAGTTTGAGGTTATGGTAAAGGAATCAAATTATAACCAATATGAAAGTTTATCTCTACAAATGTACCAAAATATCACAAATGGTCATGCTTTTAGTGAGAACACCTGCCAAACTTTATGTTGTTATATATCTGTAGTAAACAAAAGAAAGAGTATGACACAGCCACTGAGAATGGAAGTTATTTTCTGGAATAGTAGCTCTTCTGTTAAATTTTAAAATTATCTCATCTTGCAGGCAGACAAAATCCTCCATGCACATGGACATGGTTATACCATAAGGGCTGAAGTGGGGAGGCTCACACGGCACTGGCTAAGATCTAGAGAGTGAAGGAGATGAGGAGTCTCCTCCACATGACATGTCATTAGGCTGAAGATGTTTGTTAGAGTCTCTCTTAGTCCATGCCATTCTATTTCTTTTTTTTTATCTAATCCCTGAAAACCCTTGCCTGGAAACAGAATCACCTCACGAAGTTGAATATTTCCCACAGTTTGTAGACCCAGCCACTTTCTTTCTGGCTCCTGCAGTCCCCAGGCCAGCTGCATAGAAGCAGCAGCAGCTATTTATCTTGTGTATTCTGGAACTGAATGATATGAGAGTATCTCAGTTTTGCGAAAAGTCAGTGACTAGAACAATCCAAATAATGTTATCTGATACAATGGTCATCTGATAGATTTTACAGGTTTTTATATTTTCCTTAAAAAGATGATTTCTGAAGGAAACCCATCATACTGTGAACTTTACCAGGTATGATTTTAAATCTTGTTCCTTTCTACGAAAAGTTAGCAGCACTGGAAGCCAAGCTTCACTGTGTAAGTATTACATATGAGGACTGCAGCCCTATTAAGATAAAAGTTCCAAGGAGTGAAACTCGTTGAGGCTATCGCCTAAAGCAATCCCATCAGGCCTCCTGCTGAAGGTATATCTTCTACTTAAGAAAAACCACTATGTGTGCTTTCTGCTTTGTGGCAATGCTTTTCATTTTAATCTAGCTGTATTTGTTCTCATGCTTTTATTCCAAGCAAACAAAAATGAATTCTTAGCAACCTGGGAATATGTTTCCTAATGCCCTGTAGCAAATACACTTTTTTTCAGCAACACAGGCTACTGGAGAGGGAAAATGAACCCTTTATGTGGTAAGAAAAGACAAGTAAAAATGGAAAAGTGCAAGGGATGTTTTCTGACCAAGAGTAATTACAGTGAATAGAAGTACTTTCTATTCATAGAGCAGGTAAACTTAACTCCCCTCTTCTTCAGGTTTGATCTAAAGCGGGAGCTGCAGCATGTGATCTCCACGGAACTGAAGTGCAAGAAGGTCACTTGCAGACCTGGCCTTAGAAGAAGAAACAAGCCTTTGAAACTTGTTTACTGACCCACTCTCTCTGTGGGACATATATATATTTTTAATGGCTCCATGTGGAAATGTGCGTTAGCAGAATATACACTACAGTTGTAGGAGCATCAAGCAAATCTTCATCAAAATGCTGTAGTTTGTAGCACTGCCATAAACCCTGCAGGCCCAATCATTAATGTGAAAGCCTACATTAACAATAATGGAGTTTTATTGGACCAAGAAGGTGGCCTACACAACTGGTATGAGGGGATTTTTGTTGTTCTACTTCATGGTCTACTGCACTGAATATAAAACACAAACTGCAATGGGGCTGGGGGGCAAGAATGGGGAATGCGCTGCCTTGATTAGCCATTCGTGTTAACCAAATTAACGCTCCTATCTGAGCCACATCACTCTGACGAGCGTGTCAAGTGTGACTGTAGGCAGACCCCTGTATCCAGCAAAGGATTTACAATACTTCAGGATAGACACTATGACACCTTTTGCAGTGCTCATATTAGGCTGCCTGTAGGTAGGCATACGTCCTCATTGTGCACCTCAAATCAGCTATACTGTGCTATTTTTGCGAGAACTTTGCCTTTGAGGAGCAATTCAGAGTGCCCTCAGTAAGCTTTATTTTTAGATAAGAGAAGAACACAATCCCTGTTTCTCATATTACAGTTCAGTGGCTGGAACATCTGCCCAGGAGGTGGAAAACTCCTTTGGAGCCCAATGCCATTGAGCTGAAATGTCTGAAACCCACATCCCTGCCCTAACCACAGCAGCCTGCAGCACAGGCAGAGAGATGAGGGCTTTCCTCCATGCCTTCACTGTGACTATTTTACTGCAAAAAAGCAAGAAGTCACAGGAACTCAGAAACCTGGAGCAAAAAACAGAGTGGGGCTTTCAGTCTTGGCAATAAGCCCACCAACAAGAGTAGGAGTAATGGCTCTTTCGTTCTGCCATATTCACAACCTTCAGGCAAAGCATGTCAATCAGTCCATGGACTTTAGAAAATGCAACAGTCTGTTCGAAGCTTGGTAAAAACCTACTGTACACGCTAGGGGATAAAATGTGCTGAATTCACTTCCATTTAAGCTCACCATGGTTTGCAGCACAGAGTGGAAAACAACCTGGGGGGTTGTTGCACCCTCCCTTGCTGGTGAGTAGATGCCTTGACCATGTTTGACTGCATGAGCTTTACAGCACAGCCACCCTCACTGGCCATATTCCTTAGCATAAATGCTGCTTTTGGACACACTGCCTTATCTGACTGTTCCTGGGGTGCCAGAGGAAACTGTAACTACTACAAACTGAATTCATTCTGCATGTACTTGTTTAAAAGACACCTTTAACTTAAAGGTAGTTAAAAGCCCTTGTACTTTCTAAATAAAGAAATTCTTTAAATTATCTAGATATCTTCTGTTGTTACTTTATCTTCTGTATAGTTCTTGAACGTCACAAAGTAATTACACAGCCATAGAGGACCATTATATTTTCTTGCTATAAGAAATTCCATCATCTCTGACAATAAACAGTTTTTTAACAAATGGTAAAACTGATCTGCCTGTGTGTCAGGTGTATACATACAATTGTGTACTACTGCACCCTGGTACAATTTAGAGTGTTTAATTGAAACAAATAGATCTATTTTCCCTTCCGATTCTGTAGGATATGATAAATATATACCACTCTTGTATTACCACAAGGCTGTTTTTACAAAGTTTGGGCAGGAAAGGGTTTCATGTAGAGAAAGTTCATGGTGCAATTATCAAGGCTTTCCATTCCTTCCACTGATATTTTTCATTTTGATTTTTATGTTTATTTTTATTGAAGGTTTATATTGCTATTTTCATTTCTGTAATGACAATCCCTCTAAATGGAGAGGAAATAAAATGTGATAAAACACCACTCAGTCATTTTCTGGTAATTTTTTTAAACAGTGGAGAACCTGACCTACATTATTTAGGTGCAAGGTAAGATGCAGTAAAATGTAACTGCTCACCAGGATGCTGGAGACAACTGTGACAGTTGTGTTGCTGAGGATCTTTGTGCAATTCTGAATGTGCTCAGACATATGGTTCATTTCTCCATTTCTCACTTAAACTGGGCATAAGCACATATGGACTATTTTTGCTCATCCATATAAATCCAGCAAAACTTCACCAGCAAGTTTGTTTAAATAATTTAGACTGAAGTTCTACTTTAGGAAGACCTGTGATTTTCAGAATCTAAGAGAGGATTAGCATTGTGTCTCACCTGTTGCATCTCTTTCCACTGTGCCATCGTTCATGTCTCTCCTCTGTTTCATCACCTCCTTCAGACAGGCTTTTTAAGGCCTTTACCCTATATGTGTTTTGAGAAGAAATTTCCAAAGCTGTATAAAGATGCAATTGAAACTGAGAAGTTTTGATTGCTGTCTGCTCACAATTCTGGCTGAAACAGAACCATCTCTTCTTTTTCATGGATGTCACAGCTATTCAAATATTTTATTTTTTCAACTAGTTAATTTTCACTGAAACTAACAGTTATAGATACAGCATAACAAGTGAAAAATATCTAGTTAAAAACACTCTTAATTACTCCCCTGTGGTCTTTTCTCTAACTTGGTAAATGTTAAGCATTTTAACCAAAGACTTGTATTTACATTGCATTTCAAATTCACAGTTGAGTTGAATTTGTAGATGGAACTTCCAGTTGCCAGTATGCTCTGAGTTTTGGCTATTCAGCTCATGATTTAAAGTTTTTGTGTTTTTGGAGCTCCTGTTGCTACTACATATACTGTTCTTTGTCACTGATTTATATCATCACTGTTGTTGGCCATGAACTATGGAGATATACTCTGACAACTATACCCTTAATTATACCATATACATCAGAATTTTACTGAGTCAAGGAATACTTGAATAAAAGTGTAGTACTCAAAAGGAGAAAAATTAATGAAAGAGTCGAAAATTAGCTATAAACCAGAGGTTCTGGAAATTGGTTTAAAATATCAGCTTTGAATGGTGGCTTTGTTTGGATACAAATAAACATTTATGAGGTTCTTATTCTTATAGTCTGGTTGAGAGAAAATCCAAGATTTTCTTTTGCACTATTATGTATTTATACTACTAAACTTGGTGTAAGAACTGGCTCATGCATTATTCTTGACTCCCTGGGAAATCACATTTTTCTGAGGTAGGAGTACAGGACTGCCTCTGAGTCCTAGTAGCTTCTCGATTTTCTGGCATGAAGTAGGAACATGAGGAGCTCAGTGGGCTCAGTCTACAGAAACCACAGGGTGGGCCATCTACATTATTATATTTTAATACTGTAGCATGTGAGAAGAAAAACCAGCCAATGCCTTCTAAGCTCATCACTAGTGTAATGCTACGGTTTCATTTTTTTCAGTGAAAAAAATGCAGTAAACTCAAAATTATATCAAGTCCTTTGTAGCATACATACAACATTTGCAAGTCAAAATAATTCTGCAAAGCTGTAGTTGGTGTAAACAGAATCAGAGTCAATCTACTATATGTGGTCAGATATTGGAAGAGGCTGCCCAGGGAATCACCTGGAAGTATTCAAAAGGTGTGTGGATCTGGCACTTGGAGACATGGTTTAGTGGTGAACACAATCGTACTGATTGATGGTTGTACTCAATGATCTTAGAGGTCTTTTCCAACCTAAATTATTCTTTGATTGTATGATTCTTTGATAAATGCCTATTGGGTACCCAGGATACGTGGCTGAACTTTGTTGTCTTTGGGATTGAGCTGGGAGAGCACCCAAGGGGGAGGTATGAGGTAGGATCCCAGGCAGGGGCTGGTGCCAGCAGGGTAGAAGAGTGATGGGACTGTGGAAGGCTGCTATGAAAAGACAGTTTGGGAATCTCCTGTGAACTTATCAGGTGGTTCTGTTGAATGAAATTGTACAGCCTCTATCATGTTCCTGCATAAAAATGACCATTTTAGGTTTTTTATACTAGAAAAAATTCTGCGTATACAAGGGATTCCAAATGACTGAGCCATCAGCATAGCCATGAGACACTGTTATGTTAGCACAGCCAGTGCAACCTGAGATATTTCACCACAAAGAGGTGGCAAAAGAGGGATTCTTGATCATTGTAAAAGAACATCCTGACACCTTGCTGTCATCACAATGGTTTTGCTGAATGAATACATGCAGTACAAATTAAATGTATCCCTATTTTAAATGTGCCCTCGTGCTGGCTGCATATGCAACAGCAACAACTCGCTTGATATCTTTACCAAATACATGAGTTATGTACCTGTGTGCAATTGTCACAGTGTCTGAGGATCTTCCACACACAATCAATGGCCAGTGACATTATTCTAGAAGCAGCTGGCTGATCTCTCAAAATTGCCAGGTCTCGTTCTTGTGAGTTTCTTTAACCTGCTGGATGTCTGCTGGAAACTCAACAAAGCAGAGAAGAGGCAGTCTAGGAGATTCCTAGAATGTATAGAGGATAATTTCCTAGTCCAGCTGGTAAACGAGCCTACCAGTGGTGGGGTCCCGCTAGACGTTCTGTTCACAGAGAGGGGCTGGTGGGAGATGCGGTGGTTGGAGGCCGTCTGGGGCACAGTGACCATGAAATAATAGAGTTTTCAATACTCAGGGATGCAAAGAGGACCATCAATAAAACTTCTATCCTGGACTTCCACAGGGCAGATTTCGGCCTACTCAGAAGACTGGTTCACAGGGTACCTTGGGAAACAGCCCTTGAAAACAAAGGGATCCAGGAGGGATGGACATGCTTCAAGAAGCAAGTCTTGAACGCACAGGAGCAGGCTGTCCCAGTGTGCCAAAAGGCAAGCCGGCGGGGAAGACGGCCAGCCTGGTTAAACAGGGAGATTTTAAAGGAAATTAGGGGAAAAAAGAGAGCTTACCACCTATGGGAAAAAGGGCTGGCTACTCATGAAGAGTTTAGGAATATAGTTAGGACACGTAGAAAGAATATTAGAGAGACAAAAGAACCACTTGGATCCCCATGAGTCTATGGGACCAGATGGGATCCATCCTAGGGTGATGAGGGACCTGGCCGAAGAGCTCGCCAGACTGCTCTCCATCATCTACCAACAGTCCTGGCTCACTGGAGAGCTCCCAGTACCTGGCAAGCTTATGGAGCAGATCATCCTAAGTACAATCACACAGCACCTATAGGATGGACAAGGGATCAGACCCAGCCAGCACGGGTTTAGGAAAGGCAGGTCCTGTCTGACCAACCTGATCTCCTTTTATGATCAGGTGACCCGCCCGATGGATGAGGGGAAGGCTGTGGATGTGGTCTATCCGGACTTCAGCAAAGCCTTTGACACTGTCTCCCACAGCACACTCCAGAAAAGGTTGGCAGCCCACGGCTTGGACAGGGACACTGTGCTGGGTGAGGAACTGGCTGGAGGGCTGGGCCCAGAGAGTGGTGGTGAACGGGGCTGCATCCAATTGGTGGCTGGTCACTAATGGTGTCCCCCAGGGATCAGTGTTGGGCCCAGTTCTATTTAATATCTTTACTGATGATCTGGATGAGGGCATTGAATGTACCATTAGCAAATTTGCAGATGACACCAAGTTGGGAGGGCGTGTTGATCTGCTGGAAGGCAGAAGGGCTCTTCAAAGGGACCTGGACAAGCTGGAGAGATGATCTGATTCCAACAGGATGAGGTTCAACAAGGCCAAGTGCCAGGTCCTGCACTTTTGGTCACAACAACCCCATGCAGTGCTGCAGGCTGGAAACAAAGTGGCTAGAGAACAGCCAGGCAGAAAGAATCTGGGAGTTTGGATTGACAGGAAGCTGAACATGAGGCAGCAGTGTGCCCAGGTGGCCAAGAGGGCCAATGGCATCCTGGCCTGGATCAGGAACAGTGTGGTAGCAGGACCAGAAAAATGATTCTTCCCCTGTACTCAGCGCTGGTGAGGCCACACCTGAAGTACTGTGTCCAGTTCTGGGCCTCTCAGTTCAGGAAGGATATTGAGGTGCTGGAGCAGGTCCAGAGAAGAGCAATGAGGCTGGTGAAGGGACTCGAGCACAAGTCCTATGAGGAGAGGCTGAGGGAGCTGGAGTTGTTTAGCCTGGAGAAGAGGAGGCTCAGGGGAGACCTCATCACTCTCTACGACTATCTGAAAGGAGGTTGTAGCCAGGCAGGCGTGGGTCTCTTCTCCAAGGCAGCTATCAGTAAGACAAGAGGGCACGGTGTTAAGCTGTGCCAGGGGAGGTTTAGGTTGGATATTAGGAAGAAATTTTTTATGGAGAGAGTAATCAGACATTGGAATGGGCTGCCCAGGGAGGTGGTGGATTGACCGTCCCTGGAGGTTTTTAAGATGAGACTGGATGTGGCACTTAGTGCCATGGTCTAGTAACCACAGTGGTAGTGGATCAAGGGTTGGACTTGATGATTTTGGAGGTCTTTTCCAACTCGGTTGATTCTATGATTCTATGACATCCCCCTGACCCCACCGGGGGCTCTTGAACTAAACAGTAATTTTTAACACCTGATGTCCTCCTTGTAACACCAAAAGTGAGAAACTAAGCTTCTGGCTGTTTACTATAATTTCCATTTTTGAATGAGTATTCCCTGTCAAATACCTGCTTGATTTTTACACCTGTGGCATGTTGGAATAGGCCTCCTAAAAGTAAAATATGATACAGGCACTATTAATTACATACCTTTTCTCAAGTCGTACAGGCTTTTGCTAGGCAACCATTAAAGTGCTCTCAAAAACTCTGCTTTTGTGGTTAACTCCGTTTTTTCGTTAAAGCAAGCATTTAGGCCATTTCTCTTTTGGTTGATTCAGTCCCCTCCAGAGTCACATGTACCTGCCAAGGGGATGCACAGCATATAAACTTCACTGATACAGATCTCTTGAGGCATCTGGTTTGGCTTTAGGGTGGAGAAAAGAGAGCTCACAAGACACAGTTTTTGGGTCTAAGTTAGCTTTGCTTTTGTCTCTAGAGAATAAGATCATGGCAGATACAAACACAATGAAATGTGCACTAAACCAACTGAAACCTACTCCATGCCCATTCCTTTAAAACAGAAGAGTAAGTGCTGTGCTGAGGAAGTCCCATAGGACACTCTTCCCTGTCGCAAGCATTGTCTGCAACCTTCTATTGATTCCTTCCCAAGGGAACCACATACATACACAGACCCCAGCAGAAAAGGAAACAATGGATGCAGAATCCCTGGAGAGCAGTAAGCTGATGCTGAAATGAGGGATCATCCTAAAGATACAGGATGGCTCCAGACTATTACAACGATTTCAAGCAATATGTGTCTGTTATGTTTGTGAGATGTCCTTGATACTATGTTGTGGTTGCTTATTAGTTTCAACCAGGAGTAGAGGGTTAGAAAATTTGTGCATGTGATCCTGCATTAGTAGGAAGATTTGTTCCTGCACATTATTAAACTTCTTTAGAAAGTCAGGGAATCTCGGGTAAAGTTAAAATGTCTTCAGACAGAGCCTCAGAAGGACTAAAGAGATCCGATAAAATCTAAAGAGATCTCAGGTCCTAAACTACTTGAGGCAAGGAGTCCTGATATAGGCACAGAACTCCTGCCTTTGTGGCTTCCCACACAACCCAAAGAAACGCAGGTGGACAAGCAGAGTCTGTATGCAGGTCTGTCTCCAAATCTGGACATGAACAGGATATATGTGGGGACCAAGGCTGCACAATGTTTTGTAGACTGCAAGTCCAGTGCACTCCACAATATCTGAAAATGCAGATACTGGACAGAGAGGAGGTGCCTCTAGGGACACTCGTGATATGGGTCATCATGACGGGAATTGATTCCTAACTTAAGGGCACTAAGTATTCACCAAAATGGTTTACTTTTAATTATATAGGAACCTACATTCCTAACCTAGGCATTTTCGTTTAGATAACCAACCTTACCTTCCCCATCCAGTGAGGAAGGAAAGCAGAATCTGGTTAACAATCACTATTATGAGGTCAATGTTCGCAGCACTAGAACTGAAAAATTTCAAGCATTTGTCTTCTTGGCATTTATATCGAAGTTTGTTTGCCATTTGCATTTCTTTGTATTTCCCTGTGAGTCTAGGATTAAAATGCACACTGAAACTCAGCTGAATCCATAAAGCATCCACTATAAAAATTCATGCTCGGTCAGAAACTTTGCAAAATTTTAATGAAGCCATAACTAAATTCAAAGTTGAGTTAGCTGTGCTTTGTTATTTTGTAATGAAAGTTCTGTGCAGCACTGCTCAAATGGAGAGGACTGCTGCTGCTCCTGTGATTAGTAAACATGGGAGACATGCTGAGCCAATGCCTCCCTATGGCATTCTCACTGAAGTCAAAGTCACCCTCGAGATGAATTTGACCTGTTGAACTCAGTGCTTTTAGAACTAATAGCGTAATTTCTTCAACACACAGCTACAAGGAAAAAGACTTGCGACTTGAAGGCCGGGTTGTATGAGTTCAGTTTAACAGTGTGGAGAAAAGGTGTGGAAGACAAATCTGCCACAAACTAGGTTAAATTCTGATTTTCTGAAACATTGGCTAAAAAAAACCCACATCATATCTGCCTAATCTGAGGCCGAGTCAGAAGACAGGACAAGGAGGCTAGTGCATACAAAGGTGTCTCGTGTCTCTTTTTGGCTCATATTATAGTGTACGGATTCTTCAAAATTATTTATGTGCAACCTTCCAGGGACACAGGAATAGCAGAAATTAGAGATGTTAGTGCTGAGTAAGAAAACCTGGTCAGCCTAAGGGAAACCTTCAGGACAAAGTAGATAAAACTGCTCAGCTCAGTAAGTACTTGTATCTGGAGACAAAGAGAATCAAGAGCAATTAAAACAGGTATGATTGAGCAAGCATCCTTCAAAGGATGACCTTGAATTTCCTTTTCATATTCACTGGAATTTATTGGCCATCCGGGGTAAAAGAACAAAACAGTGCATGTTATTTTGCTGGATTCCATGGTATCCTGGAGAAAAAGCAGATATGATCCACCATAAACATCTGGAAAGAATAGAATGACCAGCTTTTCTTAATGTGTAGGATGGTCAAATGGAATAAAGAGCCTCTGCCTATTTACAGAGGTTACCCTTTTACTGTATATGGGATAATCATAGCAATATCTTTCTTCTCATTTCCATTAATCATTTGTACTGCATGTGTTCTGGATTTGAAGTCCACTGATCCGCGCAGATCCGTTAGATCATGAGTGCTGTTTTCCAGTTCTAGAACTGGATGTACCGCTGTGCCTGGATATTGAAGAGGGCATTGAATGCAGCCCAGCTCTCAATGTTAGTTGAGGCAGTTCAAATGTGTCCTTTCTGTAAAGGATAATCCATGGCCAAATCAATAGTATGAGACTTACTAATGACTGTGTATGATAAAATGGTAATTAATATAACATATATGTGGTTTCTACGTATACAGACAAAATATTTAATAGAATATAATACATTCACTTCCAGAAGCAAATTAATGAAGGTAGCAAACTATTTGGGTTTTTTAAGATGTTTCTAGCGTATTTGCATTGCTTTTAAACCATAAAAATGGCAAACTTCTTCAGAAGAGAAAAAATGTGATTTTACAAAGGGACACATAATCATAGTGTTATTTTATGAAACTGTATTACACTGTAATCAACTGGAAGAGCTAGCAGGTTTTAACGCTGAGTGTGTTTTCTTATGATAAACACTTGTCAATATAACACTGTCTTGTGCTTGCTATATCTTGTTTCCACCATGACCTTTCAAACCACATGCATGTTCTTTTCTCTCCCTCTGAGAAAACCCTAACAACATTCTAATCATCATGAAGAGCAATTAACTGTCTTCAACCAGCTGTGCTACTCAGCTCATCTGGGAATTGGATAAAACCTGCTCCTTAGTGCAGATCCACCTACCCAGGCATGGCTAACAAGGCTAGCGCAAAACAGTTTTAAATATGAAAAACTGGCACTTTTGCAAAGTTTGGAAGCTTTCAGTACAGAGCTGTGGTATCTCTTCTAGTAAAGAGAAGCCTCTTTCCTGCTTGCTCTACAGTCTCTGTAAGATAATGTATTAGTTTTAATAATATGTTTTTTAAAGGTCAGAATTTGAAGAACAGCACTTGTTTGTTGACATCATTGCAGAAAGCAGCCTTGCCCTCACTGAGCAAAACTTTGTGGCAGTGGTATTCTCTAACTGCTGAAGAGTAATAGCTTCCTGAATGTGCAGTTGCTGAAAGGGCACTGAAGAGAGTTTCAGAAACAATAGTTGGAAATTAATTGTATCAAATAGTATTTGGCTTCTTTCTTTTTACAAATCTGTGACTACACTCTGTTCTGTATCAGTTCACTTCCTAGAGCTCTTGAAGTTTTTTGTCTGTTAGCAAATGAAACACAGAGCAAGTAAAATTAATCTGAATACAGGATGTTTTAAAAAATAAAAAGATGGAGGCAAAAATAGTAGTTACCATTTGATAACTTTTTTTTGAGCTGCAAAATAAGATTAAAAGAAATCAAGCTGACCATATGCTGTTTCCTGAAATCATCAGGGGGTTTGTTCTGTATAACTGGAAGTATGCATAAAAGAAGTGTACCTTCATTTTTAACATATGTGTAGTTCAAACAAGAGAAGTATTTTTGGTTTCTGTTCTATGTGGTCATTTTATTAGCTCTTTTAACTGCCTTGCAGATTGCTCAGAAATTTAATCTAGCTAACCAAAATATCTCTGATACATATAATGGCCAGTCTTCGCGAGCGAAGATTTTGGGAAAGGTCATTAACCCTTCCAGCCTGCGCAGTGGATTTTTAGGTGAGACACAGCGTGCGCTGAACTGAGCCCACCCTTTAGTCCTGAGGTTCATCTGCCGGGGCCGAGCAACGCTTGGACAGTGGCAGTGAGGTCCCAGGATGTAGGTTTGTTTAGAGTGACCTTCTCTTAGGTGGATTGCCTACCAAGGCTGACGAGCTCCACCTGCCCAGGGGGCCGGGAATCGAACCCGGGTCGCAGAGGTGAGAGTCAGGCACTCTAACCACTAGACCACCAGAGGCCCCTAATAATGAAAATACAAATATAATCAACATATAGTGGGGTGGATCCTACAGAAACTTTTTGGAGTTCTCTGAAAAATATAATCTTATTTAGTTTCATTTTATTTTATTTTTCATTATATTTATATATATACTGCTGGAAAAAATTTGTTGTGATTAATACAATTTTCACAAATATCTGAGTTACAATTTTATGAAACAGAATTAAACAGCTGCTGGAAAGTGTTGACTACTTGCCTTCAAGTCTGAACCTTTGTCAAATTCCTGATTTTTTTAAACTCAGACCTTTGTTTATCCTCATGCTATATGTTTTCCAAACATTACTTATTTATACTGACATTTTCTGAGGAATAAACTACATATTATGGCCCATTCTATTCTGCAAGCTTAGCTGCCTAAAATTTAGTTCTTGGCAGTCTAAAGTCACTTTTCTTTAGCAGCCTAACCATGGGTTTAAATGCAGATGTATCAAGTGGTTTCGAGTTCACCCAACCCTTTGTGTGCAGGCATTAGAGCAGGAAGCCAGGTGCGAAATATCCACCAAGTCTCAGAAGTACAATTGTTTAAACAATCCACCTTTCATTAAGTACTGAAGCTCATCAACTAAATTAAGAGTAAGATTAGCAGTAGGTAAGCTGAAAAAATATCTTGGTATAGCTTCCATTGAAATTTCAGTTTAGATCTCCAAAGAAAGTTTAAAAGAATTGGGAAAAAAAATGGAGATTTAAAAAAAATGAATGAGACGTTTTAATATGAAGGAGTAGGAAGATCCACAGCACATTATATGTGTAGAGAGAAAATCTGCTC